AGGTATACCAATTCGGCCTTTTAAAAAAAATCAATCTAACCAGACGTTAAAGATTTCATAACGTTACAGCAATGTGGTCGGCTGCGTCGAGTGAAACGAAAGAGAAAAGAAGGAAAAGAAAAAAATGGAGCTACTTGCACGTTGCACAGTGTACGAATCTTACTTTTGCCCGAACTGTCCGCGTACAATTATGAAATCCCAAAACAACGTGACGCACTTTCTTTTCGTCGGATGTTAAACGGCTGGTTAACGAAAGCGTGTACGCTACCAGTATTACCACTGTCGCTTCTAGACCCGCTTAGAATTAGTCAGAATTGCATGCAATTGACCTCGTTCCTTGGCGAGTCGTCAAACGAGTCTTGCCACGCATCGGAGGACGCAAGGGAGGACGTTACCAGTTGTTGGTGGAAGGCTGGTTCAAAGGAGAGTGTATCATTGTGCTCGACTTTTCGTTCGACGAAAGTACTATACTTCTGCCGTCACGCCAGAACGACTGGCGTCGTTCTCATTTCAATTATCTGCCGATAATTAGCAGACACGACGCGTTACGATGCAGCTTCTTGCATGATCGTGTGAACGATCGAATGGTGCTTCGAAGGCTATACGTTGTCGATAATAAAATATCATTCAGCGATGTAGCACTTTTTCATTTTTATTAATTTCATCGAACGAGTGGATTATCTTTATGATTCACATCCGTGTAGATAGAGCGTTTAATTAAAAGTACATATGGTATATCGAACGATGATGCGCACTCGTGTTTCTCTAACGAGATCGAGAACCGATAAATGTAACTACGTTTGATAAATACAGATATTTTGCAGATAACCAATCCGGCGTCGCTCGAACTGCAAATAAAATTCTCTAGTTTCGAAATTCACGTATCGAACGAGTTGAATATATATTGAAAAGAAACGTGCGATAAATCTTTCCACGATCGACCGTTGAACACTCTCTTTAGCGGTTAGAGGTCAGATTGTTTAATCATAATCGAAATCAAGCAATGTCTATAGCCGTGACGTAATAATTCATATTTGTCAAAGACTTTTAAAATCGTTCTCGGATATCTATCGTTGCTAAAAACGTTGATTAAATACACACCTTGATAACAACCGTCGTTTATCAGAACACGTTTTACTTGCCCTTTAATAATATTTTAATATTTTTTTCACATTGCGGTATCATATCGAGTGTCTTTAAAAGAATCCCCAGTGTCATTAAAATCCATGTAATTGCACGTTTCTTCGTTCAACTTTCGTGTCAGCGTTCGAGAAAAAAGAAAATTTTTTTCCAATTTCCTTGACGCGAGCAAGTATTCGATTCGAAGCGCGATGGCGACAAAATGAGAGAATGGTCTCGATTCGCGATAATACGATACACACCGTGAGCTTCTTTTTCTTCCTCGGCTATACCCTTACGCGGTGTCATCCGACGTGGCAAAGAGCGGAGGCAACACACAACGACAGGTAACCGGTGTTAAGCGATACCTGGCGTACTCGTCGGTTACCCTGTCGAGGTCGCGGTCTTGCCTCCGTGCAACCTCAGGTGCAGAATCAAACGAGTTTTGCTTGTGCACCGACGAAAAGAAAGGGAGTAAGGTACGATTCGAAGAGCTCGGTTCGAACACCGTGATCCCAGTGACATCTAACCAGACGAGTTTCGCCCGAGTTTGCAGCTTAAAGAATGAAACATTGCTCATTAAAACAATTGGAGGCTAAAGTGGGATCAGTCGCGTGGATCAATCGTGTTCCACATCTGAGAAACCGTCTCCGAAGTAACATTGTTTCCAAGAAATACGCATAACTTGGATCGTCGAACGTGGTACATTGGATATTACTTTTAGTTCGAATAAATTATGGTTCTTTTATTTGAAGTTTTGGACAATAGTTTCAATTCACTGTTCTTTTCCCTCTGAAAGGTTACAATTGTTTTAAAGTCAATTTCCATGGACTGATACGCATATATTCACAGACGTGATCATTAATCTCCTCGAGCATCGAACTCGCAACGGAAAGCGAAACCGCCAGCATAAAGAGTATCGATAACTAAGCTGTGGGTAGTCACGTAATTCCTCGATCAGAGTGGTCTCGAGTTTTTTTTTTTTTTTCTTTTCGAAGAACGTCCTTCCAACGGCTTCGCGCTCGCGTACCAAGTGAAACGTCGATCTATTCCAGGGATTGTTTCAATTTGCGGCAACTGAACCGAGAGAGAGAAAGAGAGAGAGAGAGAGAGAGAGAGAGAGAGAGAGAGACGTTTCCTGCGAAGAAAACATATTTTCTACGCACTCGGGAGGAGCCGAGTGCGAGGCCGTGGCGTACGTAATCGCAATCGCGCGATTAGATTACACCGCCTCGAGTGGTATCCGCGATCTAAATCAGCACATTTTTCCCGCCGGTTCCCGGTGGTTATCCAGATGACTATCGAAGAAAAATTAATTCGCGCGATTTCTCGTGCAACATCGTCTACTACCGTTCCCCGAACGTGCAAGCACAGCTGAGAGAAGATTCGAACGTTGAGTATTGCCGTGTCGTGTTCTGACTCGCTGCACACGGGCATCTCGTTGAACGAGGCCGAATAGTCGACGAATTCTCACGCGTTCTTCCATCCGCACGGTGAAACGAACACAAGCAGTGCCACAGCGAGCATAATCGAGCGCCGAAGAACAGGCTAGCAAACACGCCCGCGTGGTACCACGCGGTAACCTTTTTTCTGACATTTCTGCCTGGTGGCTTTCGGTTTTAGCCGAAAGGTTAAGCCTCCGCTTGAATACCCCGAACGAAGGAAAGAGGGAGAGGTGGCAGGCAAGGAGAATCGGCAACGACGTTGTATACCTGCCAACTTGGTTGTACAGAGAAGATTTCTCTCTCTCTCTCTCTCTCTCTCTCTCTCTCTTTGTCTGGTCTCTTCCTGTCGAAGGTCAGAGCGGAGCGAAGCGTTTGCTCCTCGAACCGTGTCGCGAGGTCGGAATCTCCTTCGTCGGCAGACGATCGCTCGACCGTCACAGAAGCCAACCTGGTCACCCAATCAGAGCGAGAACGAAACAAAAGAAAGGTGAAAAGATTTATCGCTCGGTGAGATCGAGCCTATATCCTGCGCCCTCCGTGAGGTAAACGGACTCTGTCCGGCCGATGAATCTTCGCCACCGTGCAATTACTATTAGTCCATCGTTAATTTTCTTCCACCGCGGTGGAAGAAAATTAACGGAGTCGTTCGGCTACTCGATGTGTAACCAGCGACCGTTGGATTCTCCGATCGGTCAAAGACCCGTCCTGTGACCCAAAAAATCACGGATCGATGGACAAAGAGGCGCTGGGTCACGAAGAATCGCCGCTTCCGTGAAACGCGCTACCACGTTCCTGCCACCGCCGATGAAGCAGGGAGCTTCGTGTGCGATCGACCTTGCCCGAGTTCTTGCTTTTTTCAAGAACGCCGGCACTCACGTCACGAGGAAGCCACTGACAACTTTTTTCCTTCTCGCGACCTCGACTGGTTCCGAGGAGCTAAAACCTCATTCGTTTCGCGATTTCCGTTTCAACCGATCCGCAAATTAACGTTCGACAGATCGCTTCTACGCTTCTTCTGGCAATTGCGCGAGATTTCTCGAGCAATGAACGTTTGCGTCAAGGACGCGACGGAAACAAAAGAAACTCGCCGCGGAGAGAAATGTTGAAAAGAGGGAGTTTGCGATTCCGGAGCTTGTTGAATCTGCGGGGAACGTGACGACTAAAATCAGCGGAGATAAAGTAAAGAGTACCGAGCAGCGATTCGCCGGACTGGCACGACGATGTCGTTTTAAGACTCTCATCGGACGCGATTCAGGGAAAGTCACACGCTCGTAAATCAACGGCGGTAATGGGCACCGTTAGATTTGCAATGATAATCTCATGGTAATGCATACGATTCGGTCGAGCGGACGAACGAGAAAATAATTAACGAGCGAGCCGAACTATCGACATCGCCGGCGTTGATCCCTGGGGATTTACGAGTTCCCGGATTTAAATCCAGCGCAAGAACGAGCATCGAGTGATCTCGTCTGGCTTCGTAGGTTGATAATCCGTCGGTAATTCTTGCCCAACGCTCGTACGAGCTAGTTTCTTTACAGCGTGAATATTTAAAGCTGGTTCGCAAATTTTCTAGCTTTTAACGTTAATCCTTAAGAATTCGCGAGCAAAATCCAATTCCGCAATCTGCGGATTTAGGCCGCAATTCAAGGATATTGTGTCACACGTTCGTAAATTAACGCGCTTTTATCGCATTTCGTAGTTAGACCTGGCGATTAACGCCGATTCTCGAGGAAAAGGAATTTCAGTAAAATCGTTTCGCGTCTTTTCTCAAAGCGGTAAGACCAGAAAAGAAAGCAAACCCCTGTTCGTAGCTTTGATCGATGAAACGACGCGGCGACAAACCGGAGGGATGACCGAAAGTTTTCGCGACGTGGCGCGTCGGGTTCACGAGTGATCTATCGATCTTCGAGAGCCGTTAATAAGCATCCCGTCGACAGCACAGGGTAAGGTGTACCCGCGGTTACCTCTAATTCAACTGATCGATCGCAGGATAAGCGAAACGCACGATGGGACACCGTACGGTATACGTATAATAGACGAGGATCCAGCGAGCGCCAAGCGGCGGCGGCAGCAGCCATTTACCATTCAATTACGCCGCAATTACAGGATCGTGTGCGTTCCGTGGCTCAAACTGTTCGACGATCGCATACCGTGTGCCTTTCTTCGACAGACGTTTCGACCCTCTCTTTCGAGATCTTTAATTGACGACCGTAAAACGAACGGCCCGCGAGAGATCCTCGCGATTACGAAACGCAACGAAAAATTAACGATTAACGTGTAACGTCCGCCGAAAAGCAACGCGGCAGTTCGTCTGGTACTTTTCGCGAACCAACCGATTTCTTCAAACTCGTTAACAGCGACGAAGAATGATGTGACAGAGAAACGACGAGATTCATTGCAAAACAAAATCAAGAAAGAAAATCTCATCAAACTTACCCTTGCAGCGCGTGTGGAGGAGCCGGCCGCGGCGGAGGTGGCAACGATTTCCTGCCCGGTGTGTTCTGTCGCGGCGCAAGAGGCGGAGGAGGTGAACTAGGCGATCCACTGCCGCCGTATCTATCCGTGGGACATTGAGGTTGTGGCTTCTGTTTCGGCGCGTCCATGTATTTGGGTGGCAGGGCGTAGTAGTTCCTCTGTGTTACGTCTCCGTGACGTTGGTGATGATTGGGCACGTATTTCGGCGGCTCGTGGTACTTCTGAGGACTCGACTCTGACGGGAACATTTTAGAATTGGCCTCGTAGCCCGTCTTTACCGGACTACCGATCGTAAAACCGTGGCTTCCGCTTTCCAGATACTTGGATGCGCATTTGGAACTCTCGGAAACAGGCAGATAGTTGGGTCTCGTTGCTTGATTCGACTGATTGCCGCCCGAACCACTTTTGTCAACGTTTTTGGGCACTTGTGGCTGAGGTCTCTGACCAGAAGAGGATTCCAATCTCTGGGCAGAGTCGTTTCTAAGCAAGCCGGAAACGTCGAGTCGCGTGCCGTCCACTCGCATCGATTCTTGCCGAATGATTCTCGGTTCCACGGGTACTTGAGGGGCAGGTCTCTGGTTGCCAGAGTCGCTGTATCGCTGCGAGATGAGATCAGGTAGTTGAGCTGGGGGCCTGCCGGAGAAAGGCCGTTCTTCCGATATTCTCCTGGCTGGCGTTACTCTTCCATTCACCATCAACTTCTGCGTCGACGGGTATCGCAAACTGGATCGACCGGTAGCCACCATTCTGTGCGTGGCGAATCCAGCTGAGACACCGTTCTCCAACACCATCTCGGAATCGACGTGCTTCAGTGCCACGGCAGCTCTGACGAACTGATGTTGTTCCTGCTCCTGGGACACCGACGTTTTCGCCGGCGAATTCGGCGAGGACTTTCCAGATTTTTCGTGATCCCTCTTGGAACCGTGCTTCGACCTTCTCACCGAGTGTCTCTCTAACTTGTGTCTGTCGCAAGATCTGTCGCGAATCTTTGCCTCCTCAGACTGGTGGTGAGCATTGCCAGTGGTGAGCTTGCGCTGATTCTCGGTGAAACAGTCTTCGCTGAGCTCAGGCGGAGGAGGCGGCAACGGATCGTCGCAATCGTGAACTTCGTTCTCGGTCACTGTTGGAGGAGACGGCGGTGGTAAATCGGGACTGGGTACGCGATCGTTGTAAACGTTTCTCAAGTGTGGCTTCTTCGGTGGTCTCTCTGGCACCCAGTCGTCGATCGATATAGCTGGCCCAACTATCACAGGACCCAGCAAGTCCGTGGAAAGACTACCACAGCTGTTGCTGTGCTGATGCTTCGGACTCGACAGCTCTCCGTTACCCTGGTTCTGATTCCTATTCCCGTTTTCCCGCCAGGTGCCACTGGCGTAATCGGAAGCGGAACTGGCTCGCCTCGAGGAAGGCGGTCTAGGACGAGGTGGTGGTTGAGGCGGAGGACTTTGAGGCGCTGGTGCTGTTCCTTGGGCCAATTGCGGCTCCGATCTCCAAGATGCCTGGTGATGTCTCTCGTAGAAAGAAAGTAGAGCTTTCTTCTGTATGGCTTTTAACGTTGGGTCGGAGACTCTGTGGCGCTTTTCTGGGTCCAGATAAGTGTAACGCATCTGCTGCTGTTGCTGTTGCTGTTGCTTCTCTAACTCGTTTATGCGCTCCGCCACTGATATCTGTGGTTGCTGAGACAATGCTGGCGCCATTCTAAAAGAAAAGACAAAAATTCAATAAAGAACTTTCGACGAGGAATCCTAGGGAAAATAACACGTGGAATGACAATAATACCTTGAGGATTGCGTAGATTCCTGAGGCTGAGTAGTGCTAACAGGATACAGCTTGCGTTGGTTTCGTTCAGGATCCAAGTACAGTACACTTTCCGAATGATGTCTCTGCGGAGTCTGAACTCTGGCGCTGTGAGCGATCAACTGTTTGCTACATGGATGCCCGTTAGTCTGGCTAACGTCCGACATCGATCCGTGGATAGGATTCCAATTTTCCGGACTCTGAGGTGTCGTGGCACCGACGTGCTGACGCATCGGACTCTGTGGCATTGGTTGAGCCAACGAACCGTACTTGTCACCCTCGATCCTCACCGAATTGTCCCACTGAGAACCCGACTGAGACTTATCCACCAGCGATTCCTCGTCGATGTTCGACTCTTGCCACTTGCTCTCTCGAACGCTCGGCGAAACGTCCACTACGTTGGTCGACGCGTTGCAATGACTGATCACAGCCGGCAAGCTGGATCTGCCCTGGCTCTGCTTGTTGCGATCGTTCATCGAAACTTGCCACTTGTCCGGCCATTTCTCGCTGAGTCTGCCCTTGGTCGTCGGGGACAGACCACTGGTGCTGACGTCGCTCATAGATCCTTGCCACTTGTCGTGGCAGCCGTTGTTGGGCTTCTGAGGCAAAATTCCACCGTTCATGCTGCTCACGTCCGACATCGATCCGTGGTGCCAGCGATCCGAGGCGCCTTGTCGAGCCGGCAAACCACTGGACACGCTCACGTCCGACATTGACCCGTGCCATTTCAGAGTTTCGCTGCTCGAGGCGCTTCCGCTGGACGTCGTCACCACGCTGTCTCTTCCTTCTCTGGATGTGTCCTCCCAAGTGGAGGTTGGTCTCTGCGCTACTGCCTCGCTGTCTCTTCTCAACCTGAATCGATCGATCCGAGCGTGAACGTCACGACAGACGAACTATCGAATAATTATCAAGTATCGTCGTACCTGTCGAGGAACGGAGTGTTTGTCGTCGAGTCAACGCTGGAAACATAACTGTGATAACCTTCGGATTGTGCGTAGCTAGCTTGCTGAGAATGCTGCACCCTCGTGTACTCTTCAAGACCCGCTTGCGTCAGGGTTGCCTCTCTGTAAATGTCCACCTGCGAAAGGGCAATCCAATCAGTGGATCGACTGATCCGTCGGCGAGAGACGAACAACAAAAAAGGAAAAGAAAAAAAGAAAAGAAAAATATGAAGCGTTACCTGGGACACCTGAGGATCTTGATAGCTCCTAACGTAGGCTTCCAAATCGACGTGGCTGAGGGTCTGAGAGATTTGTTGTTCACGTTCAGGGGGCGATGGCACCACGTACTCCGCATCGCCCAGAGCTTTGCCCTCGCGGTCCACGCGAGGCCACAATCTCGGCTCCTCCTCCACGGTGGTTCTGCTCCGCGACTCGAAAGTCTCCGCCGGGATCTTCTCGCAGCGTTCCATCACCGTTTTCAACTGCAACAGGAAGAGGAGACGGGTTGATTCTTCCTCCAGAGTGACGAGTTCGAAACGCTTTCTCGTTCGTCCGTGTTCGCGTCCAGCGAACGAGCGAGCCAAGTGAGTAGCTGCGTAATCGATTGCGCAATCAGCGCAGACCGCGCGCGCATTTGCCTGGTCCGGAGCGCAACGGAGTAATTGAACTTAAGCTGGATTCCGCGTTTTTACCGCCAGCGAGCCGCTCTTCCCATCGAGTGTCAGCGTAATGCGTTTCGCTTTAAAATAAACCACCGGGCAACGAGCTAATTACCGTACCGCGGCAAAAACCATGTCCAGCTAATAAGGAAGTCCTAAATCGAGCAAAAGGAAAGTTTCGAGTGCGTTAGCGTTCCCGCGTCGTGGCGGGAATTCGTTGGAATTCGACGTCGAGAGAGTTTCGAGAGGAGACCGTGATCGGGGCGCAACAGCGCCTCGTCTCTCTCTCTCTCTCTCTCTCTCTCTCTCTCTCTCTCTCTCTCGAAATTGCTGGCCTACTTTTCAGGAAGTGGTCGGCGCAACCACGGCGGCGATTATGTCACCGTGAGAGAGACAGAGAGAAAGGAGGGTGCGGGTGTGGAAGATTAATTATACGCGTCGTTTTAGGGCGTAGCGTGATTTACCAAGGTTCCGCCGTTCTTACCAAAGCTACCGTCGATGTTTTAACGCGACACGTTCGTCCAATTAGGCTTCCCTCGACCGGTCGGTTCTGCATGCGCACGGAACGCACGTCGCCGCTGTCCTCTCGTGCAACATTTCCCGTGCAACCGGCACGGAACACGCTGAAAATGGCGCGATAAGGCCAGACTGGCCGGTGTGGCTCGTGACTCGTTAACACCGTCGAAAGTGCTTCGCCTCTTTGCAAATGAGTTTACAATTTCGTAACCGGTGCGACGCGAGGGAATGCTCGTGTGCTGCAGGCAAGTAACGTACGTACGTACGTACGTGCATAGAGATCCGATGAATCGGGACGCTTTAGATTATCGATCCGGGGAAAATTCTCACGCGGACGACAAAGATGGATACGTCACCTGCTGCGTGAACGTAGGATTGGGCCTCTTCGTGTGCGGTCTGGTGTACTGGGCAGGCTTCTCCTTCGGGTAGTTGGTATGATCGGTCCAGGATTTGGAACGATGGGATCCACTGTGCCCTGAATTGTGAACGTCCTCGTCAGTGTGCCTCTCCGGCGCGCTTGGCCACGAGGGATACTTTTCGTGGCCAGGTCCATAGCAAACGCCTTTGAGGCTGGACGCGTCTCTGACTGGCGGCGTCGGCGGTGGCGACGCCTCGTCTCTTTCATTGAGAGGGAGCGTGTAACTGTCGAATCCGAGGCTCTCGCTGTACCTGCACGCGCAAACAAGCAAATGCATATGTACAATGTACGTCCGTGGAACATTCAACGCTCGTTGAATCGCGCTCGATCGCCGCACGATGATACAGAAACGTTGGAATGAATCGTTCGCGTGGGAGCAATTATACGCGATCTGCCAACAAATAGCCGGTGATTAGCGCTCTCGCGCGGCCTGATGAATCAGCAGCGGAGACTCTCGACGATGCCGACGAGTAGCTGACCACGCGTCTCTCCTCTCCTCGCTGTCGATGTCATTGAACTACTTTATTAACAGGATGCGTGGCCGCCGCGTAATTTATGGAATGACGAACAAGTTCAACGTAACTGGAAACGCGTATAATCGGGCTATAATTGCGACGTCGTCGTACGCGGATCATGTCCCGGTAACGACGAGACGCCGCGTCGCTCCGAACGCGCCACGTTCGACCTATCGCGAAATCTAAGTGTGCCGAGACTAATACAGCGACCGTCTAATTGGTTGCCAAACGGTATCTCTTATCGCGCCGAGCAAAAAGCTGGCCGATAAAAGAGTCTGCGCGCCAGCTGACCGTGGAAACTCGTTTCACAATGTACACGGGGTTAGAAACAATTCGTTTCGGTGAAACACCGGCGAGGACCGAGTCGAATTCTCAAACAGTCGGCGGAAAGAAACAGGGCTAACTCGAAATCGTATTTTCTTTGGGATTGTGTCGACGGAGATAGGCACAGAACGAGTATCCAAATCTAAAACTGTGCAAACACAGAAACACGACATCCTTAAGACCTTCACATACGTTGAAACATGCACACACATCGAGATTTCTACATCAGAGTGAGTTTACCTATTGACAGATTCACAGATGCCGAGCTACGTACGTTGCAACAGGCATCATGAAACCTAGAAATCGATGCAGGCAGCGTCGCATGTTTCAACGTGTGTGTGAGAGCCTTTAGAATGTCCCGGAGAACAGAAGATGAGAGAGGAGAGGAGGCGACCAACGACAGAGACGACGAAACGAGCAGAAACTTGTGATTATCGAACGTCGAAGCGTACCCGCTATCGTTCTTGTAGCCCGCAGTATTCTTTTTGTAACTTTCGTTGTAACCGGCAGCCGTGGCCTTCTTGGCTGCGTTGCTAGCCTCGTGCTCGCTCTCCGTGGACCTCCTGCCGTCGTTTCTACGCCGGTAGTACTCGTTAGAAGGCACCGTCCGAGACGGACTCTGCTTAAGGCCATAGCTTTCCTGAGGATACGACGTGGTACTCTTGAAATTGGCAGTCTCGCTGCCGTGGCCGTGACTCCCGTACTTGTAGGAGCCCGGCGGACAGGAAGGTGGGCCCGGGGCCTCATCCTGGACTCGATATCCTGGCGACGACGGCTGCAATTCCGTCATCGTGTAACCAACGTCCCCGCCATCCGGGATACACCTACGCAATCCAACAAAAGTTGATTCGTTAGCTGTTGTCCCGATCGTCGACACACAGGTAGGATATATCAAAAGAATCGATTTGTCAGGCCGTCGGACGATCGTTGAACCTAGACCTTTCGTCGCGTACGTAGTGGATTTGTCAATTGAAACATCCAGGCCAGACAGTTTCCTCTTTAATATCCGAGTATTATCGCTCTCCCCTACGGTGACATTCAATGATCCACGCTGGTAATTGCACCTTCCTCTCCGAGTTTCAAATCAACCGGAATTCTTTCTATCCTCTCTCGACGAGTTTTTTTTCGGATACTCCTCGGAGTCTTCAAGTCGAGTTTATCGCATCGCAAAAGCAACGTGCGTTCACATTCCCAAGAAATTACGTCTCGAATTTACGCGAAAATCTATAAAAACCTAGCAATATTATTCCAGCGTTATCTATTAACCCAGCGTTTCTCTTTGTCGTCGTTGACGAACCTGTATGGCTTTAGAGGCGAAGTAAATCGAGCAGATGGCATCTAATTGAACGGTCGGAAGGTTAATTAAGACAGTGATCGTGGCGATGCCGGCGGTGTATATCGCGAAACGGTACCGATTGAAATTAAAATCGTTAATCAGCAACGCGTAGCCGCGGAGCCGACGCGAATCGGTTGCTGATTAGCCTCGGCTCTGCGTATATCACCATTGATCGACCACCACCGCCACGCGTAAATTACGGCCAGGCCAGCGTTGCTTTCACTCGGTGCACGCGCACCGTACATACAAACGTACATACATATGTACATACATACACAGATTCCTAGGAATCTAGATCCCCGGAGATCTATCGGATCGCGACTCGATCGAGCCGGGCCTTTTACGACCGCCGCGGCCGATACACGCTAATCAATTTGTTCGCGCGCGGAAAGTACATTGTTTAGGTGCAAACTCGACGAATCGAGCGCAACAGGCGTGTCCGTGATAAAATCCAACGAGCTTTCCAGCCTTCGCGTTCGCTTTAACCTTTCGCTCGCGATCACCGGCTCTCGGTGAACGAGACGCGATGAGTCGCGGTAGTGTGCCCCGCTTTATCGAGGCGAATCGAGCGTCGTTCTTGAATTATGTGCGCCGCGTAGTTAACTTTACGGACAGGGAAGGTGTGTCCTCGGTAGCACCTTGCTAACGAGGATGAATGGATCGCGATCGAGACACGAAATAAGGGGAGAGATCCGACGACGGCGGAGAAATTACGCGGTAGCTTTCAGATTTACGGCAATTGCGTTTTATCTTTGCTAATACGCTCGTTGAGCGTTGCTCGTAACTACCTATCGGGACGTTGATCCTGTTACGTTAGCACCACGAGAAGTGGGTCGAATATACCCCGTGTACAATATGACAAATAAGCGTTTTATCGCGAGCACGCGAACGGCGAACATTTCTCTCTCTCTCTCTCTCTCTCTCTCTCTCTCTCTCGACTGACTAAGACAAAGCGTCGACATTTCCGGACGAACTTTGGCACGCTCGATCTCGCGAAAGTCGCGCTACAAAGGACAAACAGCTATTTTGCTGTTGCTGCTGAACGCAACGTTGCTGGGCCCGAGCCTGAGACCGAATAAAGGATTGCTTTCATTTGTCGCCGATGAAAAATTGCTACCCACGCAAATGGCGCGCTACCTTCGCCGCGAGACCATTTTCGTTTGGAACGGGAACGCGTCATATTGACCGTCATCCGGCGGCGGCCAAATCTGGGTCAGCCGAATGCTCCCGAAGATCCACGGCCGACCGAACAATCGGCCATGTATCATCGGTTATCGCGACGTATCCTGCGATCGCCGCACGATACGAATAGACCGTCCGTTCCAGATTCGCTCGCGTCCGAGAACGATCGAGATCGACGACTCTAACGCCAGGAACATCCGCTACGTTTCCTCTGCCTCGTTCTCCATCGAGCGCCAACGTTTCTATGGACAGAATCCGCACGACGTCCCCAACTGGACTGAACGTACGAATGAAAACGCGAGGAGCGAACAAGGAATTCGCTCGATGCCTCTTGACCATTTATATTTATGGCTGCGCGCGCGCAGGAAACCGGTACACTCGCACGAGTCCAGCTGCCGGATCGAAAGCTCACGCGAAATTTTACAAGAGAACCAACATCCTCATTTTGATATTTTATATATATATATATATATATATATATATATATTGGTTTCTAAATGTCCACCAATCTAGAAAACGAGAAAATCAACAAAATACATAAAGTTGGATATTTTGAAAATCTCGATTCTCATCAAATAAATTGGTTCTCTTTCTTTGAAATGTCCTGACAACTGTGTTTAATTTCTTGTTTAATTCTTGTTCTGAGTTTTTTTCTACGACGAAAGACGATCTTTCTTTGTGAGAAATCATATTTCGATTATACATTGACGATTATAGTACATAATATATTTGTAAAAAATATTGAACGAAATGGAAGAAACGAAACAAAATTTTTACATTTTGACGAGCAGTATCTTTCAAGTTTCCTCAAAGTTCCACGATCTGACAAGTAGGAATCTTTTCAGTAAATCTTCTTCTAGTAATGTAGGAATCTTTTCAGTAAATCTTCTTCTAGTAATGTAAGAAATTAGATGCAGAAGCCATGGAACTGATATTTATCAATTCATCACAAATAAAAATGAGTAAGAGTAAGAGTAATACGTCTAATGTAAGTTTCGACACTTCATTCCCTTATGCTTAATAGAATTAACGTTAAAATTAAAAGTTTTATCAATACACAATCTAAATTGATTAAAAAATATATTAAATAGAATGTGCAAATAATTCGACAAATTTGTTTAAAAAAATTTGTTTATAAAACAGTGATTAAACGGACATGAAATATATCATGTTGTATATCATTGGAAAGGAATATTTTTCTCAAATATTTATGTCAAAATTTTTATTGTGACGTCGTTTATAAGTCAAAAGTTATTAAAAAATGTCGCGTAAATTTACGATCCGGCTCACTGTGCGACTGGATGGAAGGGAAGAGGACGAATCGTTTGGTTCACGATGCAACTCGAGCCGCCGTGATTTTTCCTGCTACTGGATCCCGATGCGGATGATCCTGGATCGTGAATCAATACCCACCACGGTTCGGCTGGATCCACGCGTTCTCAGCCGGTCTACGCGCATTCCGCCGGTTCGACGATTGCAAAATGCTGCGAAACGATTTTGTAACAAGCGAAAGTCGCCGCCGTTGTTAGATAGCGTACACCGCATAAAGTTAAAATTGATCGTAAAAAGTGATCGTTTTGATCGGTCAAAATGGAGCACTGACAAATGATAATAAGCTAATGACACTTAACAACCATGACGACTGAATAACAAAACGAATTCGGCAGACATTTCGCGGCCAGAAATCGTAAACAGCTGGCGCGTTTATTCTAATAAATTGGACGTAAACGAGCGCGCTCCTATCGAGTCTCCTCGAGTATGCACCAGGAACTCACGATCTTTAAAGCGTGCGTTAAATTAAATTCGTTATGGTGGGTGTGCCGGCGCCGTGGTTTCGCGTAATAAGAAACGAGCCTGAATAGTCGCGCGTGACAGAGTTACGATCCTTTGGGATTCGAAATGCCTGTCGTTCTCGCGCAAACACACTGAGAATTCCTGTATATTCAGCAACGATTCTACGATTTTCCAAGCAATCTGCCTTTTCTTTGTTCCAACCGTGGACATAGTGGTACATATATAGTAGGTCAACATAACGAACAAACGAACGTGCTACTCGCGCTCACTCATTTTTCCATCCAGGTAAATTGCGTCGTTGGAACGCAAACTTGTAGAAACGAGGCGCAATTACGATGGCTCCTTTGTACCGGCGAGTGAGTCGCGTCGCGGCTGACAACGAGATATCCGCTCCTCTGCACCGGTTTTCTCAGTAATAGTTTAATAATAGTAGCTATAATCACATCCTACCGGATTCCCGTGGCGAGCACGCAACGAGTTCCGGCCCCGGGAACGTGTAATTTGCCCTGTCGGGACCTGTCAAAACTTTAAGCAGGAGAACGCGCCGAATAGGCGAGGCTGAGAGAGTATCAGGCCAGTAGGCCGACGATTCTATTTACACATCGAGCGAGTTGTTTCTGCCTTCTCTGGAGAATAGCCGAATAGAATGGAAGGGATGTAAACATTCTCCGAATGCTGGAGAAACGACGAGAGATTTTGGAATTCTCTTGGAGTTGCGTGTCTCTCGGTCGTACACACGGCGAATACATTACGTAGGTAAATCCCCAGTGGAACGTGTAATTTTCTCAATTAGGAACGTCAAAAATGCTCGCGCACCCAACAATTCCTGATCGCGGCACACGGTTATTTCACGTGCTAATACACCGTTCTTTATACTTCTTCTACAATATTGTTGCCATCGCGGGTAATGGTCGGCGATTTTTCGAACGCTGGCTCTGCAACTTCGAGGTACCAGCAACTGTCGGAAGGTTCAGCAAGCATATCGCGATTCGTTTCTCCCACGCAGTCCTTCCTTTCTCGCATCAATGGAAAACGTAAATTCTGTTGAATTCGAAACAACCTCGCGAAAAACTGAAACCCACTCCCCCGGGGGTTAGAATGCGAGCCGAGCCTAAATTGTCAGACGATTGCGAGAGCGACGCGATGGCTCTCCAGCGTGGCTGAATGAGCTGAAGTCGCGCGTACGACGGAACGAATCTGAATGGAACGGTAACGAGACGACAACGCTCTCGAACGGGAATGGAATGTGCAACTCGCGCCGAATCGAGTAGAACGGGTCAGCGAGCTTACGTCGGTGACCAGTGACGAAAGCGCGTGGAACAAGATCGTGCGCGATGCAAACCACTTGTGAGAGAGAGAGAGAGACAGACAGACAGACAGATATAAGAGAACCGTGAAAGAGGAAGATGGACCATGATGATAGGAAATTTTGTGCGCGTGCGAAGGAAAAGGGGAAGCGGCGAGGTTCAAATTCGCACCTCCTTAAATCTCTGGCGTTGATTGCCGGTGGAC